CCCCCTGTCGTCAGTCCATTCATTCATTCTGTTCCATTATCTACTTTTTCCTTCTTAGGCCGAAAAACTTGCAAATGGTTTGGCAGTGTTCCTCATCAATGAAGCCGAGAAGGAATGTCCTCTTATATTGAACAATGATCAATGAGTTGCTCTTTGGCTGTTGACTTCATATGTTAGTTTTTGTGCCATCGATTTAACATGCCTTTGAGCTTTTAGCATACATCTAGGTAGAAGGTAAAAAGGTGGAAGCAGGTAGGATGGGAGATCAGATTAGGTGAGAGATTATCGTTGGGTATGTGCCTGTTAGGTATGTGCCTGTTGGGTATGTACCTGTTAGGTATGTGCCTGTCGGGGTGGACTTACTGGGATATTGTTTCCGGGGTGACCGAGGTTCCCCCGCATTTATTGACTAGGCAAATGTCCCCTGCGGGATTACACCCAATAGTAATTATAGCGGCGCTTGCGCTTTCTTCTCCTTTATCTGGGTCTGCGACGACGAACTTTTTGCTCTGGTACGGTACCACGGCGAATGAAATAGTCAATGGGTGGTGGAGCAAGGGCAGTGGGTCGTCTGCATTGGCGAGTGACTCTGCATGGTCCCCGGCGGCCGTGGCGTCGACAAACCGGAAGGAGGAGAGCGCAGCCATGCAGCTCATACAGGCTGCGTCCAATACATTGCCGTCGTCGACCACAACATGAATGTGGACCTTTAGGTTCCACACTCGCTGGCCGCTCAGAATGCACAGACTGTTCATGTCAATGGCGTTGCTGCCTTTGATGACGCTGTCTACGACCTGCGCGATATGATCTCCCTTGGGACTCCGATGACCAACTGTGGTGGTCGTAGAACGACCGTAGTGGCACGAAAAGCTCAACATCCCCTCATTAGGCCTATCCGGCCAAGGCATCACTTGGCTCGCTTGTATTCGTGCCAACACTACAGTACGACCCAACTCCACCCAACTGCTTCGTGGATATAATCGGATAATAAGCTCACGCAACTCATCAAAGGACCGTCGAGACAATCGCAACCCCTCATTCAACCCCGCGGCCACCTTCGTCACGTTCAGTAGGCTCGCCATCCAATTATATAAATACCCGCCCAAATCCAGCCATTCTAAACATACCCACCTCACCACCTGCCAACCACCTAAGCCTGGACGATGCTATGGCCGAAAAAAGGAGTACCACCCGCCTTGTTCAGAGCCTCATTAGCTGCTTGTTAGGGTCATTAATTATTTGGTGGGGAATTTTTTTCCGGGCCGACTATGAGCACGAGCTTTCTACAGCCCAAGAATGCACTACAACGCGCTGACGAGCTTTGCTCTGTCGGCCAGGAGGTAGAAGCCTTTGAACTCCTGCAAAGGACCATTTTGGATAGAAAGGTACGTCTAGAAACACACTTGGCCGAGTGTGTCTCAGAGAGACACACACACAGGAGGGTGTTAATAATGGTGATTTCAGTTTCGATATTTGCAATGGGACGCATCATCGCAGCAGGACGTGGTGATGCAGTTTGTGGAGTTGGCCGTGAAGTTGGATCGCATAAAGCAATGTCGTGACGGGTTGGTGAACTACCGGAACCATTGTCAGCATGGTGTATCAATGCTGGGCCCCTTGGAGAAGGTGATTCTCCATTTCCGTGACTGTGCGGAGAAACGTGTGGCGACGAGCGAGGGTGAGTCGAGTGAGCAGGCTCTACGCGTATGCGTGGATGCTTACCGCACGATCATCGATGTGATTAAGAACACGCCCAAGTTGGCGCGCATTTACCACTCCACAGTGCATCGAGCACACGAGTGCTGTAAGATGCACGGACTGCGGAACGATTTCCGGCGGTTGGCGGACCTAGTGCGTTCGAACTATGGCGCTATAATGAAGCTGAAGCCTCGGGGAGCGGACAACGATGCGCAATTGCTCGCTGACATTGAAGACCTCAAGCGTCCTGAGATACACATCGAAACGAAGCTTTCACAGTTGCAAACGGCAGTCTCTCTGGAATCTTGGAAGGAGGCCCAGCTGAGCATCGAGGAGCTGTTCCAGCTTGGCATCTTGGACTTGGCCACACTCCGGGGCAACAAGAAACAGGCATTGACGCCCACTCAGAAGGCCAGTTTATTGCTATGCGTTTCTAACTATTTCCAGTATTCGTCAGAGTTCTTTCGACGTTCGGGATTCGACGCATTGCACGCACTTGCACTTACTCGCTGGCTAATGCAGGTAAAGGTACAGAGCCGGAACATAGGGCCGGAGAGTATGCAGATGCTGTCGTCTCTTGCCGTCATTGCAACACTCGCAGTACCGATTGAGCAAAAAAGGAACAACCCGCTTCTCCGGTCGCCGCGGGATGAAGAAGAGAGGCGTCTTGCGGGTCTGGTGGGGCACGGGTATGTCCCCACCCGTGCACAGCTAGTCCAACTCATTGTTGATAAGGCGATTGTGCCGGCCGCGCACCCCAGTGTGCAGCAACTCTTTGACGAAATCGAGCGGGGCGAATGTAGGGCCCAAGAGGTTGCCGAAATGTTCCACGATATCGAGAATGACTTGGCGGCATTCAATGGCGACTGTGTCCTCGCCGCCCTCTCCGCCCCACGCAGGACATCGGCGTTGCTAAAGTGTGTGCACACGTATTTCCAAAACGTCCGTCGAAGTGTGTTACGGAAGGGCATCATGCAGGTGGCACTCATCTACGAATGTTTGTCACTGGAGCGTTTCAAGACACAATTCTGTCCACCGAATTTTATGACTTGGCGTCAAGCGGAACGAGAGATCGCGGCTGCCGAACGAGCGTGTGGAATCGACATCAAGTTCGACTTTGCGGGCAAGGTGATTCGGTTGAATTCGAAGCAGACCGCAGACGTGTACCTGGAAGCCAGACGCCGGACGGCGCAACTAAGTTGCCTGTTGTTAAAGACGATTTTAGAAAACAAGGAAATCGCGGAAGCAAAGGCACGCGAAGAAAAACTTGGCGATATCCGCCAGCGTGCGCAAGCAGAAGCGGCGGAGTGGAAGGGTCGCATGGCGCTTGTGGAGAAGAAGCGTGAAGAGCTCGCCAACTTACAGCGTATGCTCAGTGCTGGTCGCGCGGATGCGGATCGTGAACGGGAACAAAAGGCCGCGAATGCGGAGGCTGCAAAAGCCCAGGCCGTTGCCGCAGAGCTTGAGGCGGGCCGGAAGCGACGAGAAGTGGAGGGTGCCAGGCTGCAATGCGCCGCTATTGCGATCGAAAAGATGAAATTGATTGTCAAGGCCATTAATGGTACACCCAACACCATCAAGGTCAACGGCATTACCCTTTCCGATATCACACCCGAAGTTCTTGTTACTCAAAAAATCAGCAACAAACACTTCACCACAGCTGTTCAAAATATCATAACGGCACAGATGCAGCAGTCAAAGAAAATCGCCAAACAGAATTACAAGAAACACGACTACCTCGCTAGAGCCATCCGCCTGGAAAGAGCCAATCTTGCCAAAAAGGTCGAGCAAGATCTTGAACTCCACGTGGCAGAAATGAAGGAAGAGGCCGAAGCCGAAAGACAACGCATCCTCAATGTTTTCAAGGCACGTAATGAAGCTATCGCCAAACACAGAGAAGACATTCTCGAATGGCTGGATTCCAGGTAGCTGGCTAGTCGGACATCTGGTCTTCCTGGGTAGCCTGGCCCTCCCACCGTTTTTTTTTGGAAGAACTTGACAACATATATGGAAGGAAACGAGTGGCTCATAGATAACGCGCTCCAGGCACGATGTAAAGTGTTTTCTAAGTAGTGTGATCAACCATGTTCATTGACCGTGTTATGCTCGACCTTGTCATCGACCTTGTCATTTGATGCGTTTTGTTCGTTCAGATCTGTATAATCGTGTGTGTATGTTTAGCAGGTTATGATAGCGATGAGTACGAGGACGACAATTCGCCTGGGGAGTCGGAGTTTTGGCCATTGCGGGTTGGAGGTCACTCCGTGAGTGACGCAGAGTCATCTCGACCGACGGGCGACAAGGTGCCGTTGATGGGGCGTTTGAAGTCGATGGTTCAGACCATCGTGGGCAGCCGGGCTCCGGTGGACGACGAAGACCAGAACCAGGAGGCGCTATCCTTTGCTGAGGAGCTTGAGACGTGCTATGACTACGAGACCAACCCCGGCGCCCAGCTAGGTTTCGGTGCCTTCCGCTTTCGCGCATCTCAGGTCGTCGGAAAGCCTCGACCCCTTCAGACGCCTCGCTATCCCAATGACATCCTCAACTATTTTTGCGTCCACACTAGCAATACGAGACACAGCAAGAATGCCGCCAGTCCTGCTGGTGCCTGCCAATTCGGCATCTTCAAGTCCTGTACCAAGCTGTCCGACGGCCAACTAGAAAGTTCTCCCCACCACACACCCGGGCACTTTGCGGCAACCGGACACCCTTCGGCCGACCTTATTTCAGGTCCAACCTCGGAGACTTTGCAGTCGCGTGTCTGGGTCGTATGTCGGGGGTACGGTCCCCTTGGGGGCGTGCTGCCCGACTGGTTCTGTTTGAACTTTATGAAACGCGTTACCACGCGTCTCACCGAGGCCACGGATCACCTGCACATACGCAACATACTCAAGAGCACACACAGCGAGTTGGCCGACGACATCATCACCATTCTGGAACGCGTGGAGTCACATAACGCCGCCACCAATGCAACGATCGCCAACCTCTACGAATCCAACCCCTCCAACAACAATGCCTCACCCTTCGATAACACCGGTATCGTCGCAGCCTGCGGCATGGCTGTTAACAACCATGTCGTCGTCGCACTCTGCGGCAACCAACCACACTACCATGTCACCGTCAAATATACTGAATTCGCCTCAGATCGAGTACCCTACGCAACCACAAAGGAAATGTTCAAAAATACCCACTCCTATTCCACCTCTAAGGAACGCAATAGAATCCGCCTCAGACTTACCGCATTACGGGAACTCGAACTCAAAACAAAACATCCACAATTCGCCCATGAGAAGAACACAGATATCTCCCGAAGACTCATCGCCGGTAACAAGCAACGCATCGTTGGAAACCGCCCAGAAAAAGACCTACCTCCTGACACACATCCCCCCGACTACGACCTTGCTGACCCCGGCGCCTGGTTCGGCTCCAAATTGCACGGCTCCTGTATCACCGACTATAACATTACCAGAGGCTTCGGATTCACAAAATCGCAAACTCTAGGTCTCTCCTCCGTACCAGACTTCGTCGTCATACAACTCAAATCCAACCAAGCAAAAGGCAACACTCTCGCCATCCCGGACGAATTCCTCCTCGTCGCCTCCAGCCCGGTCTTCTGGCAAGTGCGCACTCCGCAGGAAGTCGCCTCCCACATCCTCCGACTCATGCACAAAGAAAACCACACCCTGCAACAAGCACTCGACAGAGTCTGCATGTGCGTCCGAGTGGAAAGCGTTGCAAGGGGCTTCAGAGCTTTCAACTCCGAAGAACTGGCCGTTCTCTGCATACCTCTTGCCTGACCGGACACGCGTTTGCACACACGTGTCCAAAGCGAATGAGCGACTATCTATTGAGCGATGTCAGGGTAATGACACCATCCAGCATCCTGTCCCCTACAGACGTCTGCCCCCTGCAAACGTCTCCTGCCTAGCCCCTGCAGACGCTTGACCGATCCAACCCTCCACCGGCAGAAAAAGGAGCTTGACGCCGGCCTGGACCAAATCCTGTCCAGACGAGATCGCAAGCACCATGCGAACGGTGCGCAACTCCGTCTTCTGACAAATGCCAGCCACTTCACCGCCTATGAAGTCGTCGCCCTCGCGTCTGCCATCGGCGCCCCGTTGTCCAAGCTGGAGCGAAGTGCATTGCACCAAGAATTCGAAGATCGAGGCGGATTCACCCGGGACGACATCTACTTCCTGATTGCTCCCCAGATAACCGACGCGGAAGTTGAGAACAAGGTGCGAGCGAGCCTGCTGAAAATCAGCGGAGGCAAACCCACCCTCAAGGCCAAACAGCTAGTCCACTACCTCATTCGCGCAGGGAGCACACTCAAACTCACGATGGATGAAATATCCACTTTCGTAACCTTTTGCTACACCAAAATGGACACCGCAGCACCAATCGATCCTGAGTCAGACATCAGCATCGACATCATCGTAGACCTGTAAGCACGCCGCATGAGGTCTGCCATCAATGCCCGTTCTGCAGGATCACTAATGAGTAGACTATCCTTCATCGGAGACGAAACCGCGTGCCACCAGGTCCAGAATTTGGTCGAGTGAGAAAGTCGGCGGCGCAATGAGCCTGGAGAGGCCTGTGTCTCGCACGGACTCCGCCTTCTTCGCCACTTCACGAAACGCCTGCGCAGGTGCATTGATGATCTTCTTCGCGGTAGGCAGCACCTGATATAGCGAAGACGCGTTTATGGTGAAGAACGGTGCGACATTGGGGTATGGAATGACCTCCCACGAGTGCGGCATGACAGGGAAAGTCACCTCCGCGGGACGTGGAACCGCGTGAACCGCGGTGAGTGAGACAGGCGCCGGGGGAGGCAGCTCTGTGGGTTGCCGAACCGTGACCTTACCTAAACCAAGAACAATGACCGGAGTTAACAATGGCACAAAGTTAACAACAGTAGGGTGAATTACTACTAAGCAACCAACACACAAACCTCAACCACATCCAGCACTTACTCTCAGCAATACGTTGCGCAATTTGCATCGCCTTCTGCGCGTCAACGACGCCGCCACATGCGGCCGCCTTGTCCAGATCGGTGGTTCTCTTGCAACTTTCCATAATCGCCTGCCTAACCTCAGTGTTTTTGAGTTCCGGAAATGTTGACCAGATCAAGCCGGCGATGCCCACGACATGCGGAGCGGCGAAAGAGGTTCCCTGGTTGACGACGTATCCATCTTTTCCCGTCGAGATGATGTTCCGCCCTGGCGCAAATACGTGCACCGTTTCCTTGCCATAGTTGGAAAATGGCGTTTTACGACCGCTTTCTGTTGAAGCCCCAACCGACAGAATGTTGGGGACCGTATACCCAGACGGGGTATGTATGTAACTGGAATAACAAAGGATGAGATCACTCACTCAATCTTACTCGGAATAATCAGTGGCCAAATTGTTGTTTCCCGCTGAGCTCACGAACAAGTGACCATGCTTGTGAGCCCTCATAATGGCTTCTTTCTCTACCTTGGATCCACTGAAGAACATGAAGTGTAAAGCCAGAGTCATGACCTTACTGTCTTGCATAACCGCCGTAGGAGTTGTTAGAGATTCGTGCACCCATCTTAATCGCATAGTCAATGGCCCGGACCTCGTTAACCACGGTGCCTTCAGTTGTTGATATAAATCTTAAGCATATCAACCGACAGCTGGGACAGATGCCAGCTATGCCCATACGGTTGTTTGCCTTAGCGGCGATGATTCCGGCCGCTGCCGTTCCATGCGACGAAGTTCCCTCGGCGACGGGATTGTTCGAATTCCGGACGAAATCCCAGCCCCAGCAGTCGTCTACAAAGCCATTCTCATCATCGTCCATCCCGTTAGTACAGCTTCCTTCTCGATCGTTCCGCCAAAATTGTCCTTTCATGTCCGGATGGTTTTGTGTGCAACCGGAATCAATAATCGCAACTAGTGTCTCCGCCTTTGGTTCATACTGCTTCCAAACAGCTTCAGCGTTAATTCCAAACCCCGCGCCACTGGACGCTCCTTTCAACGCCCACTGGTAGCGATATAATGGGTCTCCAGGACCCCCCTTCCTTATGATTTCATCTTCTATATTCCGGGATCCTCGTAGAGATGCATCTTCGTCCTCCACGTATTTTATGTCGTCTCTAGCTACAAATTTCACGCACGGAAGATCTTGACTAAGGGATTCCAGCTCCGCCAGACTAAGACCTTCCGGCACTTTCGCGATTTCCATTTCCAAAGTGTCGAGGTAGATCGTATCCAGTTTTGGACTCATGTCATCAACAAATTCGATTCCCTGCATTCGCGATGGATGAGGCCGTTGTTGGCCAGACATTTGGGTCTGAAGTCGGCGGCCCAATTCCGTAAGAGCAACCACCCGATGTATGGGATAGTTGCTCGTTTCCTTTGTCATTCCTTCCATGGCGCGACATCCAGAATCTTCGTATACAAAAAGGAGGTGAGAATTGAGTAATTCTTCCGTATCCGACGACAAAACTCGGTCTACCACACCCGGACCGCTCAGAAATTCGACATTGTCATCCGCGGAGATCAATGACAGGAGGCTGTTAATTATCCATAGCTTCTGCATGCGCTATCCCCGATTTTGGCTCTTGCGCACACGTGTGCTATTTTAATCTTTTCGCATATTCAGGGAAATAAAGCTAAAGGTGGGGATGCAGAAGTATGTAGTGTTGGATACTGGCGCTATATTAGGCGGGAGGAGTCTCCTGGACCCGGAGAGTAAGTATTTATGCCCTGAAGGCGTGGTGAGAGAAGCAAAGGATAAACGTAGCGCTGAATTTTTGGATACATATGACCAGTTTTGGGAGGTGAGAAGCGCCGAGCCAGAGGCCTGGAGGCTTGCACGTGAGCGGGCGAAAGTGACGGGCGACGAGAGTGAGCTGTCAGATGTAGATTTGTCCGTTGTCGCTTTGGCAGTGAGTGTGGCGCTGTCCGAAGAGCTTCCTTTACGTCCGCTGAAGGATGTGGAGTTGGTGCTGCGGGGCGAGGCGTGTCAAGGGAGCGCATACAACGGCGCAGTGTCTGACTCGGTGGCGTTGAAGGTCGTCTCGAGCGACCGGGCGTTGCGGAATTTGTGTGTTGCATTCGGGATAAATGCAGAAACGCCCGGCGGCAAGGCGTATTGCGGGGGGCTCATTACATGGAGTTACCAGTGCAGCAGTTGCAAGACGACGGTGTCTGCAAAGCCGACTGCCTGTCTGAGCTGCGGCAACACCAAGTTCGTGCGGTCAGCGATGATGGCGGCGTGGGACGGCGTGAAGAGACCAGTGCCCTGGGACGAACCGGCCCGCGATTTTAGCGGCGCTGCTGGCGCAAGTCGAGGCGGCGCCCGCGGTATTAGTAGTCGGGGCGGCGCTTCCACGCGGGGTTCCCCCACACGGGGTTCGTCTTTTCGGGGGTCAAATCGGCGTTGAGCTGGCGGACATTGCAAGCAACAAGTGGTCAAGGCGGGTGGGGTGGGGTGGGGTGGGCGTGGGAGGAGTGAGGAGGGTCAGAGAGAATTCGTCAGGGGGGCAGGGGGGGGTGGTCGCAAGGCTGGGACGGGGGTGGTCAGGGTGTGCGTGGAGACGGATTGGCGGTGGGCGAGTTTTTGGCATATTATTTTTGTCAGATGCCAACAGCACCAGCAACTACCACAGTGTCTCGTCGAGAGATCGACACGAAGCAGTACCGTCCGGTGAAGCGTGAGCGGGAGCAGCCGCGTGAGGGCGAGGTGCATGTGAGTAACGCAGGGGACGTCGGTCTGTATGCATTGCAGGCGGTGGAGAGTTTCAACAAGGACTTGCGAGATGAGGTTGTGATTCGTGGTTCAGGGTTCGCAGTGGCAGTAGCGATCACGGTTGCGGAGTTGATCAGACATACGGTTCCGGGTATCCATAAGGTGATGACTACGGGTGTTGCCGAGCTTACTGACACGTACGTGCCCAATAACGAGAGTGACCCGCAGTTGGCGGTGAACCGACGGGTTCCCTACATCGTTATCACCCTCAGCAAGAAGAAACAGGAGGAACTCCCGCCGTTCTCCGGCTATGCCGCACCCCCCTCTGAAGAGGACATGAAAGCCAGCGTTCAACTCGCGAACGTACAACGCCTCGGCGGCTCCAGAAACCCCCGACGCGCATCTGGCAGAAGACCCCAAGGATCTCGCGGCGGCAATCGCAACGATGGCAACCGTAATGACGGCAATCGCAATGACGCTCCCCGCAACGACCGCCAGACTACCTACACCGACAATTACGCCGGAGACGGCTCTAGTCAGTAAATCACCGGCCGCTGCGCTGAAGCGCGGGGTCGAGGCGAGCTGGCGGTTGCAGCGCGAGTTGGCGGGCCAATGATTGGGTACGATGACCTAGAGATTCTCTCTAGAGGTTGTCTCTAAAGACTGCCTGTAGAGGTAGTCTCTAAAGACTGCCTGTAGAGGTAGTCTTTAGAAGTCGTGTTTAGAGGTGGCTGAAGAACCGTTAACTAGTTTGGAAGAAACTTCGAAGCGGAAGTTATCAATATAGTTTAGAAATGTTGTTGGCGGCCGGGCTTGAGCCAGACCGGGTTCGAGTAAGGTCGGCACACACGTGTGCTTTGTCTGCTTCCTTTATCTAAACTTCTTCCGCTTGGTCGGTTACGGGCCGGCCAGGTTTTTTCCGCCAATGAGACTTTTTTTCATCCTGGGCATGCACCTCTGCTGCGGACCGTAAGCTTGGGACACGCGGAAATGCTCTGACCTTCAATATTCCAGGTTATAAAGAATGGCAGATGCAACTGATCTCAACAACCTCGACCAATGGCAACCGGCCACCACGACGACGGCAAGCGAGGGGCCGTTGTAAGACGAACACCACGGCTGTTACCCTTTACTTAGTTCCCGGCGGGTCACGCCTGGGGGGGGGGTGTGATTTAGATGTGTGTGTTATAGGTTGAATATAGACTATAGGACGTGGCATCGTGACTCGCACGAATTGTACGACTACGAGAGTTTGAATATCTTCCGTGGTCGGCACAGTACGCGGCGAAGTGTGCGTGTTATACGGAGTGGTACGGACGTTATCTTGGATGAGGATGCGACAAACTTGCCTGCGCAGGGTGACTTCCTATTAGGTGTGAAAGCTAAGGATGGCAAGTTCATCATTTTCCCAGCTGACAGAAGTGTGCAGTATCCTCAGACCATAATGCCGCGGAAGTTATGGTTGATAACGAGATACCTGCCTAACTCCTTGTACCCATTGTCGGAGGGTGACGTGATAAAACTGGGTCGGTTCAAATTGCGCGTTAAGCAGATAGTATCCGAAGACCGTCCTAACACTTTAGTGGACTGGCGGTTAGACGACTCCGAGTTTCCGGTGGCGGAACTCTCACCCGAAGAAGCACTCAACACTCAGTGCCGGATTTGTCTTACCGAAGGCGCCGAAGAAAATAACCCCCTTGTTAGAGCATGCCATTGCAAAGGTAGCATCATGTACGTACACCTTGAGTGTCTGCGGCAGTGGGTTAATGGCAGACTTAACCTTTCGGAAGATCTCAGCCGAGCATGCTGCTTCGTTAGACAGATACAATGCGAACTCTGCAAGGCTACCTTCCCTTCATTCGTCACATCCAAAGGCGAAAGACTACCTGTCGTCAAAATACCACAACTACAATCACCTTTCATCGTATTAGAGAACATGGTAGGACCTGTTAACAAAGGTGTGCACCTCTGCAGCCTCGCCCAAAAAAAAGAATGCAAACTCGTAAGCACCCATCCACTTACACACACTTTCTCACTTACAGGGTCGAGGACATGAGAGCGACGTGAGAATAGCGGACGTTTCAATTTCTAGATGGCATGCCACTATAAAGTATTCAGAAGGCCAATTTAATTTGGAAGACCACAGCTCTAAATTTGGCACTCTCGTGGCCCTCAGGCGGCCCGTCATAATGGATAGCTTAGGTAAGACTCCCCCCGCTGGCAATGTTACCTGCAGTGGGTACCCGTTGGTTGGTGATGATGCCAGCACATTGGTACTGGTAATCGTACCGGTCGGTATTCCTGTACTCTGAAATGTACTCTTTATAGTTGAGAGATTGTCAGTGCAGATTGGCAGAACAGTTATGGACCTGGGAGTCAGCGGGAGCAGTGAGGCTGCAACCGAGTTGTCCGGTGTGCCGGCCAACGCGCTCCGGAGCTCGGTACTTGATCATGAGATGGAGCCCGATTGGCATGAATAGATAGCGCTGTGTTTTTCCTTTCAGAAGCTCGGCATCCCAGTGGCATCCCAGTCATGTCGTAACCAGTCACGTCGGTAACTACCTAGTCATGTCTACCCAGTCGTCTCTAGCGCGATTTAGTCGCGACTTGGTCGCCTATCTACTACTAGTCAAGTGAACTATTTTCTCTCTTTTTACATATGATGGAACAAGAGAACGTAAAGCCGTCTGTAGCTATCAACGTGGCTGAGGTATGCGGTGTCGCGTCCCAGTACCTGAGTGCCCAGAGTCCTTGAAGGGGTCACGTCCCGGGGGGGTCACGTCCCGGGGGGGTCACGTCCCGGGGGGGTCGAATACAGATATGTGTGCACATAGGTGTCCGAATTCCCGGCACTGCTCACCGGGTGTGTTGTCTAGTACTCAGGGTGTATTGCAGGTAGAACTCAGTACGGCCAAAGAAGGGCCGTCTTCTCCGGATTTATCGAAGGAGAGTGTGAATGACGAGGTGCTACAGTTGTGGTTGCGCCGTTGTCGACGAAAGTATTTACAGGGAGTGACAGTGATTAAAGTTTGTAGTAACGGCAAGTTGGTGAAACGCCAGCTCTACATTGGGGCGAAGCCGGAATATTTGGAACTTATCTCATCTAAGTTGTTCGACACGGCTTATCACCTTAGTACTTTGGAGACTGTGGAGTGCACATTAGAGTCTACCGATTTTGACGCATTCCGACTGTTACAGCCAGGTTGCATGCCGAAGAAGGATAAGAGTCTGGTAATTCGAATAAACGACAATACGGCAATGGGCACGCGGGCGGAAATGTCACCCAACGCCCATGGCACAGCGGGTGGCCGGATCGTGTCGCTCGTGTTCCAAACGGTTGAAGACCGAAGGGACGCTCAGATTTACCTTCGCGCGCAGATCACCACACTCCGATCAGTCGGACAAAATGCGCTCCGGGACTATGAACGAGTCAAGACTCTACCTACCATGAAGTGCATCAAGCAACTTGACTTCGTCTCCGTCAACGAGGAAGAAGACGACGACCAATCGGCCGCTGCTGGGGGCCCTGACGCTGCCGCTGCAGTGCCCAAGACGGAGGCCGACAAGAGTCCCTGTGACTAGAACCCTGTCATTAGAACCCGACGACTAGAATTTTATGACTAGAGCCTGGGGAATTGTATCGCCTACGACCCGTTGCCTTCTACGGCGCGTTACTTTCAAGGACGGTGAACAGTCTGCTTTCCTCCGAACACCTCTGTGGGCAGGTTACGCTTTTGTCAGACACACTCCCTTACTTAAGCGCACACTCCTTTAGTTAAGCGCACACTCCCTTACTTAAGCGCACACTCTCTTAGTTAAGCGCACACTCTCTTAGTTAAGCGCACACTCCCTTAGTTAAGCGCATATGCGCAATCATGGTCAGGTATGGATTAACCTAAAACGACTTGCCAAATGATGCAGATCAAGCGTCTATTCTAACATCTATTGTTTTCGTCCTCAGTCTATTGTGGGATCATGTATTGGGAGAACACTTAGTTTCGTTTTATGAACCTTGCCAGCTGTGAACATGTAGCGTTAATGTTTTGTACTTGCCTGCTGGGTCAGGTTTGATTTATCGACGTACAATTTACAGGCATGCCGTTTCGGGGTCCGCATGTGATAGCCGAGCAGTTGCAGGTGCCTGAGTCTTTGAAGCGGTTGCAAGAGCAGTTTGTGGGTCTGGCTCGACCGATGGCGGAGTTTGTGTATGAGCGAACGACTGATATGCCATTGTGGGCGAGCAAGATGAATGGGGCTCCATATATACCCCTGTCGGCTGGAGTACATCCGAAAGGTTGGCGAATGCTGATCCAAATCAACTTCGGTGAGGTGCCCCGTGCCACTGAAACCTGGCCGGGACTAGAAGGTTTCCCAGAACAGGGTTTAGTTCAGGTGTGGTGGGGCAAACAGTCTGGTGATTGCAGCAAGACTGGCATCGTCTTTTACGATGAGGTAATTCAAGACCCCGAACAACTACAGACTGTGTTTCCGTACAAGTACGCAGATACGATTGAGCCCTGGGACGATGCGTTCGTCAAAACGGCCAACAAAAGAGCGGAAGAGAAACGGGTTTCTAAAGCCATTCAACTTTTACCGACACCCGATCATGGGGCGTTGAACCATGGATCGTCAAAGCATAATACGGCGACCCAGAAAGATGGCAGAGAGATATACATGTATATTACTGACCCCAAATTTGGGTACACTACGGACCCCCCAGATCACGTAAGCCTTGCAGAATCAGAAGAAGACTTGGACGCCAACCCCAAAACGAAAAGCGATAAGATCTATGGCCTCTATGGGGACGAGGCATGGCCCACAATCGTTTCCGACCCTCCCTACCAAATCAAATACAATCGAGGCTATTCATTGCCACCACCCGGATGTCGTGACTACCATAGACAAAATTGGCCAGATGACATCGACCCGGATACTCTCTGGGAATATCTTCGAAAGGCAGCCACTCCACCTAGCGACTCCTGTCTCGGAGGGTACCCCACATACACTCAAGAAGATTCCGACGAACGACCAGATGTACAACTTATTCAAATAGGCTGCTCTCATAATACGATGTTTGGAGATGCTGGTTTGGGCCACTGGTTTATTAGTCTTGACTCTCTCAAACGGAAAGACTTTAGCAACGTGGTATTCATGTGGGACTGTTGTTAACAATTTTAGGACAAGTTTTTTATCGAACCAAATACCTACCTACCTCTCCTTAATCAACCCAATCTGCACCAGCCCAACCTGCAACCAGAAACGGGTCGTTTTTAGTAATTTTCATCAACGAGAAATCTAATGGCTGTAAGAAACACCTCAATGACAATGATGATTTCTTTAGAGAGTGATTAAACGTCGTGAAACCAACTATGAAAAGAAGGCAGCAGCAGCCAAACTGCAGTCAGAAGACCAGGGAGCTATCGACTCAAAAGCAGTTTTCTTCATATTTATGATCTTGGCAGGGCTTGTATACAAACTACTAACCACTCAATTAGCGAAATGAATTGTTAAAGAACTGTTGGTGAAAAACCCGTGAAGACCCGAGAAGAACTGTTGGTAAACGACAAGGTTGTAGAGTTGAGGTTAGTCCGAGTTGAGGTTAGTCCTATCGCCTGAGCTTATCCTTCTGCTCTCCATTGCCTGGTGGTTCTATTACCCATTAGGTTCTATTACCCATTAGGTTCTATTACCCATTAGGTTCTATTACCCATTAGGTTCCATTACCCATTAGGTTCTATTACCCATTAGGTTCTATTACTCGTCTTAGATTGATAGAATCTCTAAATAGGGATTCCATCAGAGCCGGTGAATTCTATCATGTGAATCTTTCATGATCAAAGGTCGCATAGCTCCAAGCTTGTTGGGGTTCATGAGCTAGTATTTAGGTCTATGGTTAAGGCCCAATTTTACCTTTTTAAAGCTATATGAGACTGAACTCTGACACGGAGGAAAATGCAAGGTTGCTGGAAGCAGAAAAGGAGGAAGGTCCAGTGCAAGACAACGCCGAAGTACGATGGCCAAAGCCGGGCACAGATGGTCAGCAGCTGCGCGGTCGGGAGTCTGGGTCGATGGAGCAAACGGTCGCGGTGGACCCAGAAGCTGCGGTCCCGCCCCCGGGAGAAGTCGCAACGCCCACTCCTGTCGACCCCAAAAGCCAATCTGCAACCGAGCACGTGGCAGCGGACAAGGTGACCGATGAAGCGAAAGCCGAAGCAACGAAAACTGAAGGAGGGAAAGCCGAAGGAACGGAAACCGAAGGAACGGAAACCGAAGGAAAACGGCCAACAGAGTCGGCTTGCATTTTGGACGGGAGCAAGTTGATACTACGCATAGCCAGTAAGGGTGTTTTGTTGGTTGATTCATCTTTATGGGGTTGCCCGGCGAGTTGGGGCTGCCTGGCGAATAGGGTTTCGAAAGGGTGTTGAGAATGCGTGTTTCTGTAGGTCCTGGTAAGCCGTTCCAGGTGGACCACGGGTTGAAGATCATAATGGCGGATGGACCTTTGAAGCGGATTGAGCGATCATTATTGCACAGCACGTACGTGACGGAGGCGTCAGACACGACGGTGGTGGTGGATGCGGGTGGGCCGGGGTTGCGGTTTGCGCCGTTGTTGCCTTCGTTATTGGACGGCGTAGTATACACACGAGATGGGTGCACACATGTGGTCTTATCCGGCACGGGCGCGATCCAACGCAGCCGTGTCAGCGCCCCGAATATGCCAACGCGGGTTGTTAACAAGTTCGTCGCTCAACAACATTTCAGATTCCACACTGAAACGGAAGCTACAGACACGGAGGAGGTGTTCTTCCCGTGGTCAACTTTAGGACATCACTCAGGTCAGGGTGGCGTTATCTTTGTGCGCTGCGACGACAGCATTTATTCGCACCGCTTAAAACCGCGCAAACTCGACCTTTCGGAGGGACGAGTCATCGCTTGGTCGGCCGGTATCACCTTCCAGAATAACAAGGGCTGGTTCTGCTTCAAACGTCTATCAAGCGCCGCCGGCCAAGGCTCCGTCTGGATCGACAACGGCAAGTCCATGAACAATCCCAACGTCGTTTTGACCTAACAAAAATCCCCCCGTCACTGCCTGGTCCGACCTCGTCCCCGGTCATAGTGACACGGCGGTCAGTATTGCGGCGGCGATACAGGTGAGTGAATTTCCGGGTGAGTTTCGTGGAATTTTTGCCAGTGATGATGGACCAGTTACCGCCGCCGCCACCCCCGCCGCCGACGCAGGCGTCGGTGAGTGAGGTGTTAAGCGACGCGGAGGCGGAGGTTTGTGAGTACCGTTCGTGGTTGTCTGTGAAACGGGTGCCTATGGTCCGTGTGGAACACATACGAAACACACAAACGCCATTGTGGGCGAGCAAGATCAACGGCGCGCCATACATCCCTAAGGCGGCTGGCACACACCCACGCGCCTGGAGGCTGCTTGTACAAATCAACTTCGCAGACCTGCCACGACCCACCGAAAGCTGGCCGGGCGTACCAGGATTGCCGGATAAGGGCCTGCTGCAAATCTGGTGGTATGCTCACTCGTACGACCTCTGCGAAACAGGCGTAGTCTTTTACGAAGACGTCACTCACGATCTCACCCAGCTACACACCACCTTCCCCTGCACCTACCTAGATGCGCCGGTGGAGGGGGACACGGCGGAGCAAGGGACGGCGGAGGGAGATGTGGCAACCAAGAACAGCGACCCCAACAGGACGGTTGATAAGAAAACCAACACAGACGGGGTCGTGGACAAGGACACGGACGGGGGCGTGCATGATGAGGCTAATGCGGACGCCGTGGTCGGACATGTGGAAGACCCCGAGACCGGACTTGTCAAGGGGGGAGCAGAAGAGTTGGGGTCGTCATTACCAATTCATGTAAGGTCATCTATGTTTTCGCCGCACGGCTATATCGACAAGGGACGGTTGGATGAGACGTTGTGCAAGCCGGATGTGGATTGGTTCCCGGTTGCGTCGTGTGAAACGTCGCTACCATACGAACTGAAATTTGATCGTGATTTTGACATCCCTAATTTTACCTGCAGAGATGTGTGGTCATGCGATGAGGAACTAATCAACCACTTGTCGGACCACGTCGAACGCGTGGAACGTGGTACTCATGGCGCACACGAACCGTTCGGGCACCGACTGTCGTCCTCTCAGTGCAAGATAGGAGGCTACCCGTACTTTACTCAGTGCGACTCCGAAGAACGACCTGGAGTGCATCTACTGCAAATCGGATCCTTTGGTGACGTTACTTTCGGGGACTCCGGCTTGGCCCACTGGTTCATAGACGAGCAAGACCTCGTTAAAAAGAAGTTCGAAAATCTATATTTTATGTGGGACTGCTGCTAAGTCGCGCAGTTCTCGTGTCCAGCTTATTACTAGTGAAAGCCCTGTCTTAGCGCAACAATTCGTCCGCTCGGACCAATGAGTGGGTGCAGGCGATTTGTTTTATGTAACTGAGGCTCTCTTCCGAGAGATCGAAGGGCACTTGACTGAGCTTCAGGCCCATCATTTTTTGGTGGATGCTGATTCTGAACTTGTTTGCTCTTTCAGATAAGGTCGACGGCACGAGTCCTGAGGCGACCAGCTTCTCTAAAAAGACATGCCAGACGCAGAGAGCTCGGGCGAAAGAGGTCAGGCTGCCATAAAAGCTGGATCGGCCCAAGAAATCGTCAAATACGGAAACGACCTTAACCCAGGTGGCTTCCACACACGTGTGCGCCGCCAGTGCCCGGAAGATGGGGGTGTTTAATGTGACAAACTGCTGCAAAGAGAGTCCACCATCCTCCTTGTCGTGTTCCATTGAACCCTTGTCCTGACCAGATTCACTTCCGTGGATCTCATGTTCGTCGCTATCTGAACTTGGTTCGTCTGCAGTTGATTTGTCCTGGTCAACGCTGTTATCGTTACTGCTGGCATCGTCTCCCTGTTCGCTTTCGCCCGTACTATCCTCCGGGCTGTCATCCTCCGGGCTGTCATCCTCCGGGCTGTCATCAAGGGACTTAACCGCATCGGGATGAACATATATGGACACCTCTTCAGAACAAGGAGCGTCGGTATAGTCATGGTTTAGCTTCTTGAAGACTTTGGCTTCATTGAGGATCGGTTGACAGCCATAAATCGATACCGGACCTCTCAGTTGTTTCTGTAATTCGTCAAACCATACAGAGACACACTGGTGCCAAATAGCACCATCTATATGAGCAACTCCACGTCTGGACTCAGTGAACCACTCAGGATGCCACTCGGGAGTGGACTCTTCTACGTGTTTCCGTCTTTTTTTGCTCTTGCTGGTATCGACCAAGTTCATATTGTAATATTCAGTCCTCTTTAAGTCAATTTGGGCCTCCTTTGGGCTTTCAGTCTCAGGGTCCTCGTCCCATTGGGTAGTTTTCAGATGCTTTAAAAGCAGGGACTCCTTCTTAGATGTAGACATCAGTCGATTATTAGGACCATCTAAAGTTCGTGGCAGGTTGCAAATTGGCATTACAAAACCTAATGATGCAAATAAATCCCGAACGACTTTTTCATCCCAGGACTCGTCAATACATATAAACAGCATCTCACTAACAACCAACCGTATCAGAAATAAGAACTTAGGCACACGGTACTGGTCAAGGTGCTTCCAAAAATCGCGCGCCGCACACAACAACGCTCCAAAAACCAATGCGCGCTTTCCTTCATTCGTCCTCGTCAATGTCACCAACTGCACCGACACTGACTGCTGGTTGTATACTCCATCCGTCAAATGAAGCAACGTCATACAAGCCTTGAAAACTCGGTAATAATTCTCGTACGTCTTCTCCGACTCCTCTACACGCTCCAACCAGCCCGGTAAACTGGACAACGCACGCATGCGACGCTTCTGCAACGGGTCACACAGCATCTCACACTTCCGAGACCATTCACTCACCACCTCCATTTTCAAATAAAAAATGACCCGGGGCCGGCTCAACCAGAGGGGGGGGGGGGGTCAACAACAGGGTGA